GTTAGTCTATCATATATTTACATACAACACATGCCATGCCAACAGTCGCACTAGCGGTGCTTTCTGCCTTTGGCAACCGGCCAAAGCCGCTATCGTTGAATTATGCATGCCTATGCAGTTGGTCGTGCGGTTTGGTGTGGGGCCGGTCACGGCCACCCCGGCCGAGCTCAGCGGGACGCCGGAGCTGAGGTCGGCCGCGCGGCCACACCGCGACGAGCCGACGCCTCTCTCAGAGAGGAGTGTGATGGGACATCTGTGCGCACATTGCCGACCGGCAAACAGACGCCTGTGAGGAGGGACGCCAGTCCGAATCATTGCATGGCCTCCACGCCCTGTTCACAGGTTGTTTTTTCTTCTGTTACCTGAGCCATAAATGAAACGCACTGCTGGTATAGATGGTGGCATTACTGCCCAGTGCTCTCTGGCCTGCTGAAGCCCTTCTGGCCAGTTCAATCCCGTGCCAACCAGCCAGTTATACCAAACGGCATGCTGCTCCTCATGCAGGGGATCTTGCGCATGGTGTTAATGATACGAGTGAACCAGATTGGCGGACGCGGCGTGCGGACGAGTATACGCTCGCAACAACTTACAACTGCACAACTGCACATGTTAGGGGAGATCCGTGTAAGACGTCCAGGGTCGGTAAGAGGCCCCAACGCTTTTTTACCAAACCAATGATGTCATTTATTTTTAAATAATATACTTGTAAGGTAGAAGCCCGTTTGAAACAACAACTCAGAAACGAGCAGCAGGCGCGTCACGGCGACTTATTGGTAAGCCTGTTTCTTAGTTTGCCCCTTTTCTCGCCAGACACATACATCTTTATCGTCCTGATTTATCCGGAAACAAACTAGGGGAGAGCGGGGAGAGTTGTATCATGTCCAAGTTGTATCAGGGCGAATTGTGCCAAACTTATCCAATGGATGGCGCTCGCGACACGATCAGCCGACGAGGTTTTCCGGGCGCCATCTTTCCCTGTTCTGTCTTGTGGCTGAGTGGACGCGTCTCGAGGTGAGAGCCGATTTTATGTTTTTTTTAATGTCATTCTAAAAAAATAAGTTGCAAGAAAATGTGTGTTTTGGGCATTTAGATGTGCACGAATTTGAAAGATCTCCGTAGCGGTGGTGAGGGTAGGTTCTAAGGCTGCGTGAGTGAAAACGGATTTCTCCAGCTGTCCGCTGTTTTTTTAGCACGAGGATGTTTTTCCAAGATGGCGGCTAGGTACATGTTGTATCAGAGCCGGGTGGGGTATGTTGTAACATGTATGTATGTATGTATGTATGGGTATGTTGCTTTTGATCGCGAAAGCTAAGCCCTGGCTCGCGTTTGTAGGTAGCTAGTCAATGCTCGTTCCATTTCGGCACAATGTGTTGGCTTCTTTGCTCTTAACGGGCCACTTTTGCGTCTAATCTGTTGATGTTTCGTTCGGATTGCATTGACCTAAGTTTGGTCTAATAAAGTGAAGCCTTTGAGCATACCTATACATTGTATTAACCCCATTTAATGTTGCTGTTATGTTCAAAACCAGTAGCAAGCACACTCCCTGAAACGTGAAATAGTGATACAAATTACCCCACCATGTGATACAACTCACCCAAGCCATGGGGCAAGTTGTATCAAAAACATTGTTCTATTCGGCAGACCGTAGAAGAAAAACTGGTAGAGGTAGCGGAAAAGTTACTTTGCACAAAAAAGCAGAAGAATCAAGGAAGGGGACAGTATGGAAATAATGAGTTTATCACGGATAGTTACGAGTTTATGGGTCTCGGAGTAAAAACTGATACAACCCACCCCACTCTCCCCTAATGGCTGTCAAATACAAGCTTACCCAACCGTTTTTATCTGCCTTTTTAGCTTAAGACTTGGCTTAAGGATAAACCATGTTCTGGTATGCTGCAAATGCCTCATGAAACATAAATATTGTGACGAATAGAATAATGCATTTTTTAAGAGTCCCTCCCTCCGAGGTCGATAAGACACTCCCCTTTTCCCCTTGATAAGACATCCCCCTTTTTCAAGGAGCGATGATATGTTGGTGATATGGATCTTCCAGCTACATGAGGTAATACGGTTTGTGAACACTCATTGAGTTCGTTTTGTTCTGTTGGGCAAGCAGGGGTGGTGATAATAGCTGACCTCGATTCGTTTGATAACTTTCATTAGTCATTCGTTGGTCATTGTTTCATCTTGCTATTTTTCGCATTGTTCGAATGCTTCGGTGTTTGTTTTTGGTTTCAATAACACGCGTATTTGCTCAGCTTTTTGAAACAAAAGTCCTTGCAGTTGTGGTCGCAGAGCGTCTTTGGCTTACGCTCGACTTGTAAAACACCCAGGGGAGTTTTTGCCATATCCGTAGTGTAAGAGGTCCTTTTGACACTTTTTGTAAAATGTTTAAAGGTAGTGTGCCAGCTTTCCTGGACCGTATGGAGTTAATGGCCCATATAAGGAGAACCGGATTTTTAGAAATTATCAATACCTTCAAAACTCATGGAAACGTCTTAAATTCTTCAAATTTTGAGTACCCCAGTGCGAAATTCGCCCCGACGGGTTGTCGGTCGTACCCCAACCACATTTCACACCACTATGAACAATAAATGCACACACTGAAATCGCTATTACCGATAGGCTCATCCAATCAAGTTTCGATAAACCCGTTCATCATCATCTCCTGCGGTTTCGAACACGCCTGTTAGGTGGTGCGGTAGACCGCGCCCAAAGTCAGGGCCCCGGTAACGTGAGGTAGCCGAGTCGGGGCAGCGTGCGCTGACCGAAGCCGGGGCCGCGCGTCCTTCCGGTGTCATGTGATAGCCCGGGGCTGCCCGGGGATGCGGTAGACCGCGCCCAAAGCCGCGGCCCCGGCTTGGGTCAGCGCACGCTGCCCCGACTCGGCTACCTCACGGTACCGGGGCCCTGGCTTTGGGCGCGGTCTACCGTCTACCGCAGGTGGCTTCTGCTCATACTTTGTGGTGTGGTGGTGGTGCGTCGGGCCGCGCGCTCTGACTTCGGCCAAGAAAACTGCGTCAGCTGATCATTGTCATTTCTGCCACTTTCATGTGGTGAGATGGGGTCATAACTTTACAGACGGCTGTTTCATATCATTTATTTTACATAAAATAAGATTTCAAACCATAAATTAATGTTCGACAGACAAATTAAAGAAACAATACCTACCAATACAGGCTTACAGTTTAAATTCGACATTGTGTTGTCTACGATTAGACAGCTGACAACTCATTCCCGTACGTCGTAACTCTATAATGACCTTTGCTTATTGTCACGTGTGCGCCGCATTCGCGATTGTTGCCGACGCCTGTTTGTAGGTCAGCCCACTACAGTTGTTATACATATCGAAAAACCGATAAACTTTTAGGCGAAAAAAAAAAACTATTTTAGGCCCATTTTTGATTTTTTTGCGATATTAGGTAAAAACAGAAGCTTCTTATCCTAGGAAAAATAAAATGGGAAATCATTTGAAGGTGGCACACTACCTTTAAGTTTTTGTTTTGTGTGCCCCCTGGGCCCTGAATTCATTTTGAACGCAAATATATATGGGGAAATGATGTATGCAGCGCATGCACACGCTGGCTCTGAAATATTATCAGTTCTCCAAAAATCGCAACTGAGCTTAAGGGGACCTCTTGCACCACTCTCCCCTATACATAAGGCAGAGAAGCTGGGCCACAGCCCACAACTTGGTAATTAGCCAGGGGCAGTAACCAATAACATCTGGTGAGGTAAACGGAGTTAGTTGCGAGCTGACTTTATTGCAAGTATTTTAGCTTTTGAATGCTATATCATAAAAGGCACATCATTACTTGTTTAGTCAAACCCTCCCTGCCTGAAGGGGTGCCAACCCCTGAAGTTTTTCATTATTGCTCGGAATGCGCCGACGATAAAGAACAACTGGAAGCTGGATACCTAACAACTGGAAGCTGGATACCTGATCTTTGATTCAAGCAGGATTTTATAACACCAACTGCATTCTATGGTCAGTTTAGGTCACTTAACTTTGAGTATGGCGCAGTAGTGAACCTGTGCTTGGTCCAAAAATGTCACTGCTCCGTAACGCCTTCAGTGCAAGAAAAAATTATTTTACCGGACTAGGACTGAGCTTCTTTAGTTTCGTCCCATTTTCCATCAAGTGGGCTGTCATCCTGTCTATCTATCGCGCCTACCATTTATGCTCGAGCTACAAGCTTTTCGATCTAGAGCTAAGATCCGTGAAAGATGTTTTCTTGGACAACGGTTACCCAAAGTCGTTGATAGATTCCACTATATTGCCAAGTTTCTCAACAAAAGCTTCATTGCTGTCACAAATCAACCACAGGTTAAAACCGTAAGATTTGTCATTTTGCCGTTTTTTTTTCGGAAAACGCTCAATTAAGCCAAGATTTTCGACAAAAGGCGTTTTACTCGGTGTTATAGCGCATTCCCTAGAAGACCCGTGAACGGTGAAACATTTTATCTTTGACATGAACTGTCAGTGGCGGATCCCGGGGGGGGGGGGCAAAATGGGCATTTGCCCCTCCCAAACGGCATAATTTTAACATTACGCCTATGGACGAGGCATGGAAAGAATCGATAAATTGTTATGGTTTGCCCCCCCCCCCCCCAAAAAAAACAAACTCTGAGCTGGATCCGCCTCTGTGAACTGTGACGTCATCGGTGACCCCGAGGTCAATGAAATTTGGTTCCGCTTTACGAATTTGACAGGGCTATCGAACGCCGTTTGAATGTTAGGATCCGACTCCTAGTTTCGGAGATACGGGGGGAGGGGGTAAAAAATGCCCCACACACCGCGCGGAAGGTGGCCGGGAGGCCCACCGCCTGCCGGGTTAAGCGTGAGACAAAGAGCTAGTACATACATATTACATATAGGTACGGTGGAAGTACGTTTCGTTATTATGATGATCACCTTTTTGATGAACCCCGGTCAGAATGCATTAAAACTATGGACAATGCTCTTCGCCTATAAATAAAACAAAGATCCTGTATAACATACGGACAATGAACGATAAATGATCGAATTAAAATGAATCCGGTCTCATAATGCTCCACCCGCGGTTTTAGTTCGTTTCCAAGTGTTGTTTCTGCCATGTTGGCCGCACAGTTCAGAGCACTGACGGCCTCCGAGAGCGCTCTGTGGCTGTGCAACGACGAGAACATGCCTCCGGGGTTGAGTGAGAGCTGGGTTAGTGCGCTGCGACCGTTAGGCAGGCCGACGGTGAGGTTTTCGGCACGCAGCCGCCTCCAGTCGCGAGGAGATGCGTGCCGCGGCTGGTCGGCCGCTGCTGCCGGCGGTGCGCCGGCGGCTGGCGCGGCCCGGCGGCTGGCGCGCGCCGGCGCTGGCGCTGGCGCTGCTCTGGTGTGTCAGCCGTGCGCTGGTGCTGTTCCCCGGCGAGACACTGCGCGACAGGACCCTGTACCGGCTGACCGTGCTCCGCGACACGGGCAACGTCACCATCGTCAGGTTAGACCGGCTCGCCGCCACGCCGAACGTCCGGCCGGGACGTGCAGCGTGCGCTTGACGAACATCTGTGTGGTCATCACGGTTTTTGCATTTGCTGATTTGCAGCCCCTGGTTTTGATGTTGATACACCCAGTTTTGGTGTATGTACAGCCCTCTGCAGACTGCTTGGTAGGTATTCTTTTTTTCGACAAAACCGAGAATAACGCAAATACTATGTTATCAGGCACTCGGAAATCGTAACAGCAAGATCCGCGAGACTCCAGGGGCGGATCCAGGAAAACTCCAAGGGGAGGGTCATGAATCGAAGTGGTGCCCCTACCTATACCCAAAATTAAAAACTCAACGGATTTCGTCCACTTCATTTTGGTGGTGCCCCCATTTTCAGTTTTTTCTTTTTATTTTTTATTTTTAGTCAGTATCTTAACTCATAGCCACAACCACATTTACCAATTGTAAGCAAGTATATATGAATGTGCTATGTGTATAAATGTTGTGGACGCTGAGTAGTGAGTACTTACCAGGCACGTTATCAGGTAAGCGAAGCGAATCGTTGTCAGTCCGACGAACTTGAACCCTGGCGTCTAAAGGGTCTGTCCTTGACACTTCAGGCTTGTCAGGGGCACCAAAGTCCTTCCAGGGATACCACAAACCTGTCAGGGGCACCTACGGCCTTGTAGGGGCGCCACAGGCCCGCCAGGGGCACCACAGGCTTGCCAGGAAGCAGGGGCACCACAGGTCTAGCAAGTATACACGACAGGCCTGTCAGGGGCACAACGGGCCTGTTGGGCCCATGAACACCCCTAGGGGCAGGGGCACCACAGTCCTTCCAGGGGGACCGCAGGCCTGTGAGGGGCACCAGCGGCCTAGCAGGGGCACCAGTCAACACAGGCCTGCCAGGGGCACCACAGATCTGCCAGGGGCACCAGAGGCCTGCCAGGAGCACCACCGACCTTGCAGGGGTAACTTGGGCCTGTCAGGGGCACCACGGGCCTGTCGAGAGGCACTTCAGGCTTTTCAGGGGCACCATAGTCCTCTCCGGGCGCAGGGGTAGCAGGGGCACCAGAGGCCTGCCAGGGGCACTACAGGCCTAGCAAAGGCACCACTGGTCTATCAGGGGCACCACGAGCCTGTCATAGCCAGGCATCTCAGGCTTGTCAAGGCCCAGGGGCACCACAGGTCTGTGAGGGGCACCAGCGACCTAGCAGGGGCACCAGTCAACACAGGTCTGCCAGGGGCGCCACAGACCTGCCAGGGGCACCACAGACCTGCCAGGGGCACCAGAGGTCTGTCAGGGGCACCACCGGCCTCGCAGGGGCACCTTGGGCCTGTCAGGGGCACCACGGGCCTGCCGAGGGGCACTTCAGACTTTTCAGGGGCACCAGTCCTCTCCGGGCGCAGGGGTACCAGCGGCCTAGCAAGGGCACCACATGCCTAACAAGGGCACCACGGGCCTGTCAGGGGCACCTCAGGCTTGTCAGGGCCCAGGGACACCACAGTCCTTCCAAGGGCACCGCAAGCCTGACAGGGGCACCAGAGGCCTGCCAGGGGCACCACAGGCCTGCCATGGACACCACAGGCCTGCCAGGGGCACCACCGGCCTTGCAGGGGCGCCTCAGGCCTGTCAGGGGCACCACGTGCCTGCCGGGGACACTTCAGGCTTGTCAGGGGCGTTACAGTCCTGTCAGGGCCCAGGGGCACCAGGCCCGTGGTGTCCCTGCTAGGCCTGTGGTGCCCCTGGCGGTCCTGTGGTGCCCCTGTCAGGACTGTGATACCCCTGATAGGCCGTTGGTGCCCCTGGCAGGTCTTTGGGCCCCCGGGCCTCAAGGGGGGGCCATGACCCATGTGACTCCCCCCCTTGGATCCGCCACTGCGAGACTCCGCAGCTTAGATTGGCATTATCATCGTACGCATTTTCCATCCAGTTTGGCAACAAAACCCAAAAGTTTATATTTGCCCCCAAAACGAACTTTTACATTTTGTTGCCACACAAAGCGTATGCTTTGTTTATTGATAGGCCCTATCGAAAGAGTGGAGCATGGCGCATCTATTTGCAGTGAGTTTCAATCGACTGATAACATGACTTTTGAATTATTATCAGTTTTGTCGGAAAAAGAATACCTACCACGCAGTCTGCTAAGGGCTGTACTTGCATAGTTAGGTACCGGTGGGTAACGGGGTAAATATTCCCCTTCTCTGTCGTCCAAAATCGACAAAATGTTGTCGTTTTCTTGACAACAGACAAATAAAACAGAATAGCAAAGGTATGACATTAGAAACAACGTTTTGGCTCTGTGACGCCCAACACCACAAAGTAAAGCAAAATTTCTGGGAGTTTTAAAAGTTTAATAGCATTTTTAGTAGTTTGCCCCTCGCAGATCAATAGCAGTTTTTGGTCTATACCTAGGTACCTATCGATAGGTATAAGACGTAGATATGTCATAATCACACTTTTTAGAAATAACCACTTGCGGATCTAGAAAGGGGCTCTTGGACGCCACGAGGGTATGTCTTAACCCGCGCCCGGCTGGGGGTCCTGGATTTCCACGCCCTGTTGGGGGGGGGGGTGTTTGAACACCCCCCCCCCCCTTGTAACTCGGCTCCTGGGCCACGTAGCGATACGCGGAAGGCGGCGTTCGAAAGAGCGTCAAAAATAATGACGAAATCACTTCAGTCAATTTTTTGGTCAGGTCAAAGGTCAGGTCACCAGAGGTCATTGAAGGCAAAATTTCGCCGATTTCCAGGTCGAATGTCGAAAATTTCCAAGAAGCCAACGCATAACTCGGGAACCAATAGAGCTACAGCGCCGCGGAAAAGCGCATTCGATAGCCCTATTAACGCCCTTTCTGAATGATTCCTCAGATTTGACCTAACGTTAACGGTTTTGCCTGCAGGGGGCAAAAACTGCAAAAATAGCCGATTTTTTTGGAAACAGTTTTTTTTTCTGCAATAACTTTTGACCCAAGCACTGTACGAGCTTAGCTTTTACCGGCATCGTGTTCCTCTCGTCAAGACGCATCGAATGAACTATACCTTGACCTTGAAAAGTCAACTTGAAAATTTGACCTCAGGTCAAGGTCATGACCTGACCGGAAAGGGTCATGTTGCATATCAGTCGATCCGTATCGTCGAGCTGAACACATCCAAGGCGTTTTCATCGCTCTAGCATGCCTCTATCAAAAGTTATTTGCGAAAAACTGTTAGATACCATTCGTGACGTAAGATGACCTCAGGGCATAAACAAGGGTCACGGACACCATTTTCATGTTCAGTGTGTCTAAACCACTTGTAATTCGGTGTTTGGGAGTATTTATAATGTCTTTCGTCCAAAAGAGGCGCATTTCAATTTTCTCCCATTGACTTATAATGGGGAAGTCGCAAAATTGACCTGACCTTAGGTCATCGATTTCAAATTCAGAGATATACATTTTGTACATGCTATTGCTCTTAGCAATCGCTGAAAGTTTCAAAGCGATCGGTCACTCGGTGTAGCTATGACAGACATTGAAACTTTTTATGAGGTGAGGTCACTTCAAGTGACCTGGTGACCTGACCTTGAATGACCTTGGTCTGAAATTTTCACAACATGTGTAGAATTGATGTATGATAAGGTGTACCAAAAACGGCGGCGCTCCGCGCTGCCGTTTTTTAGATGTTCGCGAAAAAACCACAAGGGGGGGGGTGTTCAAACATCCCCCCCAGCAGGGCGCGGGTTAATAAAAGATTTCTCCAAATTTCAAAAACTCCTTAGGATACCTTTTCCTTACGGACCGCGGCGCAGTTCAAAACGATCTAAAAAATATTATTGGTTCCCGAAAAGCCGTAAATTTTTGTCAATTTCAGGCTTTGCAAGGGGGTGGGCATTGGCTCCCGATGCCATCCTGGATCCACCAGTGGAAATCATCATTATCATATCATCGATTACTAGCCGAACAGCATATGCTTATCCATAGTGGCTTATCATATGCTAACCATGGATGACATGCATGTTATTGTAGGTGTGCATCTTAATAGAAAGGGAGGGCTGCGCGTTGGTTGATAGACCTAGACGTATGCGAAAATTTTCCTGCTATAGCATAAATGACAAGTGCGTACCTGTTACCTATTTTTTTCTAAGCACGCCTGTGAGTGTGTGTCTGAACGGAAGCATCGAGATGGTGGGGGAGCGCATTTAGCCACCAGGTTATTAAGGATACGAGGAAGGGTGAAAAGACGTAAAAAAAACTGATTGCGAGCTCTCTCTCTCTCTCTCTCTCTGATGTATTGCTTACAAAAAAGACGTTTTTCGGGTTTATTCTGAAAATGCAGAACATCATCAAAAATAGAATTTTAGGGAGCTCGGCATTTTTTTGGACAAATCGACGCGGAACTTGTAAAGCAAATCAGCCACCACAGCCGGAATGGAGAGAGCTACACCTCTTTATATATAGGCGGCAGTGCACTCATTTCAGTTATACATACCTAGCGCAAGTGGGTTCGACAGTAGATACGGCATAGTCTGTCTATGGCGAACTGTCGAAATCGGTTGCACTGTTACTGAACTGTGTGCACTATGTCTATCTTTGGCCGTGATAAGGCGTGGTCGACAGGGTGGTGGAACGGGGGGGAGGGGGGCAGCGGGACACCGTGCCCCCGCCTTCATTTTGCCATTTTAACATTAGCCCTATGGGGGTTGCATGGAAAGAATGAGACCAAAAGTCGGCAGTGCCCCCCCCCCCTTAATTGAAGGTGTTCCACCGCTATACTGCTCTGCAGCCAGGCTCCAAGCTCTCCATTAAAGTAGCCATTTGTTACCAATGCAGCACGGCTCGTCGATGGCATGACGAGCGGCTGAGAAAGCTATCGACTGTCTTGAGCCACCTTTTCTCTTCCTCAATCACTGTCTTGAGCAGATTTCAAATTCATCCGAGGCGTCCCGAGTCTGGGCTGAGTCCGGGCCGAAGCTGGGCTGTCATGACAGGCGCGGCGCCTCTGGCGTCCCACGCACTACATGGGGGCCGTGACTTGGCACTAAATCGTAACGGTTCTCGCCAGTCTAAGGAGCGCAGCGGACGGTTTCGAGGCCAGCCGCTCACAGTGTTAGTGGAACAGCGCTCAATGCTGCATCGTGATAAATGGTTTTGGAAAGCGTGCCAGAGCAGACGTCGTTGGAACAAAGTAGACAATTGGCTGTCGTATTTAGTTATACCTATGAACGTGGAGGAACACACGTGAATGCTATAATGCGCCCACTGTATTTATGTATGCACATGTAGCCAGAGGTCGATAAAATGCTTGGAGTTGCTCCAACGAACATCTCAGTCCCATCACTGTCTCCAACTTAGCCCTCGCCTGGCGGGGGGGGGGGGAGCCTCCCTAAGTTTTTTTTTTCGCGAATAGCGTAAAAGTTGGCGTCGCGTAGCGCCGCAAAAATTTGGCACAACGTCTGGGAATGAGCCTTTTGCTACCTATCCTGAAAATTCACTGCCATCCGCCGCGTCGGCACACCGGTATCTCCTCACCTTCTCCCCATACGGCCTTGATTCCCCAACTCACACCATCACACTACTGCATACGGTGACCGGTCGCACGGTGGATCTGAATGCCTACGTTTTCGCGCCAAAGTCTGAAACAACTAACGATTATCATCAGCTTAGAGATGTTGAAATTTAGCATTTTAAAGCTTTTAATTTAAAAGTTTATATGTGTGATTTAACGCACTTGTCCTTATTGATTGAGAAAAGAGCGGACTTTTTATCGTATTACCTAATACGAAGTAACGCAATCGAAGTGTGATTTCGGTCCACTGTGCGTTTTCAGGCGCGCTCGATAAAACACCCAGGCCTGGAGAAAGTTGGAAGGGTGATTTTCTGATACTCCTCACCACAAAATGACCCTAAGCGAAAAAATGCCCGCAGGGCGCTGCCAACGCGTGCCAGCGGCCCTGCTAGTAAGGGCGAAAATCAATGTATGTGTATGCGGAGCACACCCTTAGCGCTACGATGGCTCCTTGGAGACACCTGGAGAAACCTCTGCCGGCAGAAGGGTCAGGTCCCTCGCAGACGGCGCGACACGGCGGGAGCTCAGCGGGTGGCCTAGCCGGAAAGAGGATAAAAATAGCCGACTGGCCCGACCCAGCGAGGGGTGACCGAAGGGTGACCAGGAGTGAATGAGGGAACATACACGCGGTACCGAGCAGCCGATAACAGCACCGGACGATTAGTAAGTCATAAGTCAATGCTGTACTTTATGCGTAAGGAAGCATCCATGTAGACGGGCGGACTGTCTCCAGCTCTTCCAAGTATTGCTAATATCTTGCTCCAACGAGCGTTGGCACGTTGGAAGTTTTATCGACCACTGCATGTAGCTGACGCTCTTCGTCCCTGTGTGTTTCAGGGATGGCTCATCGGTGCCCGACTCGCAGTTCAGCGCCGCCCAGAAGCGCAGCATTCGCACTGCGTACAAGTGGGTGGGCACCAACACCACCTGGTGCCGGCGGCAGGCCTCGTTCGGCGGACAGGCCTACTCCAATCGCAACTGGGAGTCACGCATTCAGGACGGCGACCGACCCGTCTGCCTGGACAGCGAGTTCTCCATCTCCGACGAGCGGTCGCCGTGCGTGGTGTACGCCTATGGTGTGTCCTATGACTGGACGTTCGATGACGGGATGGCGCGTTTCGGCTGCGAGGTGCACTCGTTTGACCCGTCGATTGGTGCACAGCCGGCGCGCCGGCCCAGCGGCGTACACTTCCACCCGGTCGGACTGGGCCGCAACGACCACGTGAACGCGTACGGCTGGCAGATCTGGACACTGGACCGCGCCATGCGCGAGCTGGGCCACGACCACCTGCCGCGTCTGCAGTACCTGAAACTGGACTCTGAGGGCTCCGAGTGGGACATGTTCTCCCAGCAGCTGTTCGACGGCGTCGGCCACCAGGCGCTCGACAAGTTCGACCAGATCGGCGTGGAGGTGCACATGCGCAAGGCGGCCGAGCGGGAGATGGAGTTCTACGAGCGTATCGCCAACGTTACCGTTCGTCTGTCCGAGCTGGGCTGGGAGGTGGCGCAGGCGACGCCCACCAAAATCTACCCGGTCTGGTTCCGGTTCCCCGGCCTGGACGAGCCCGTGCCGCTCATGTACGATCTCCTGCTAGTCAATCGCAGGCGCGCTAATAGAAATAATCATTGACTCTATGAGCAAGCTGTTTCGGGCTCGGTGCTAGTGGGCATCAGGGTTTATATTTGTATTATGTGTATGTATCAATACATGTGATAGCTTTATGAATCTCGTCTTGACCCTTGACCGGCGCATGACTGGGAGAGCCCCCTCCCGTTTTTCTGCAATACCTACATATCTTCTCAAGTCCGCTTGACGTATAAACACGAAACGTACAGTACCTTCAGCTGCATCCATTCGACACTTTGTGTTTAGATTACAATTTTCTAGCTACCATAGGTCGGCCGGAAATGACGTTAGAGTGACGTCATGTCGGAAGATTTCGATACAAGACATTGAACTACGGTAATCGCTCTCAAAAGCTCAGTTGATACGCTAGATCCAATGTCTTTGCATGAGTGGACTGAGAATACCTACACGTGGCTGTCAAACTGCCATCTCGGATTTTCGAACTTTTGAGAGTGTTGAAAAACATACATATACAATAAGGTACATTTAAAAAATATTTTTTTTATTTTTTTTCAAAAACCTTTTCACTTTTCGAAGAAAAAAATCTGAACAAAGGTATGTGATAGTATCTAGGTACACCTATCGATGACCTACTTTAGAAAGTTTAGGCACACCGCACAATAGCTCAAAAATAGCTGAGTTATTTTTTGTTTTATAAATTTAGTTCGAATGTTTGAATGGACGGATTGACAGAGCCGAAGCCCACGCTTAGCAGAGCTTGTTGCGTAGACCCCGACCCCTACCGTCCGATCGCGCAATTCCGGGTATCGGGAAAATTTAGATGCCAAAGTTTAACGTGCCCTTCAAAGCCGGACACGGCCTGTCCCACTCAACTGAGTTCAACTGGCTGCGGCTGCTCCCACCAACCGCAGACCATTCCCGTCAGGAGTCTCAAATATCGAGCGCCGGAGCGTCTCGAACCCGGGCTCTCTACACTACCGGGAGTCCAATGCTCCACCAACTGAGCTACGGGACAGACCGGGGACAGTTATACGCATTTTAGTAAAAATTTCGCAATTTTAGATTCTTCAAATCCATCTTCAGTACGTTTTTTGACATTGCACAGTAATATAAATTCCAGTTCCCGAGCTCAAACTGCATCCGATAGACACTTTTTTTTTGTTGAAAAAATTTCAACTTCAAAATTCGACCTTTTTTTATCTCGTGACCTGACCTCAGCTGAATTCAGCTGAGAATGACCTCAAATGGCTCGGACAATACTGTTTTCGAAATCTATGAGTGAAACGGCCTTAAAGCATGTGTCGATACAAGATGTAAAATTTCCGTGGCCTATCACCTTAAAAATTCGAGCCTTCACCTTAAAAATTCGATACACAAGCTCGTTACCTTTAGAGGAGCTTCGGCAAACATCAACGAGTGCGTAAGCCAAAAATGAGCCTGATCTGACGTGTTAGACGGCGGCCAGAGGGCCAGAGGCCAAACTGTGAACGAGCCAAAATGCTGATAATTTTTACTAGGTACCTGTGGCCTGTGGGCCTGTTTCCAGACTCACCTCAAATCTTGGTGATCAGCTATCCCGAAGCAGGAGGTTTGGGGCGTGACTGAAAAGCCATGAGTGTGTGCGCCCTAAGGATAGATGAGAGGGGCTCGAAGTTTTAGTTCATCACCTTCGGCCGGGCTCGTCATTCGCAGCATCAGCGATGAGTGGCAGCCTGCAGCGCCACCAGTGGCGGTTCTACGCTGCCCTCTGGCGGCAACTGTGGTAACTCTGAGCCTGACCCGTTCTAGCCGATGGTGCTGCCACCTGTGCCGACTGCCGACCGTGTACCGCTGCCTGGCGAGTGTGTAACCCAAGAATAAGCTCATGACTTGTTTAGCACAAGTCAGAGCCCGCACTGACAGGCAGTTTGGACTGCCAAAATGTTGATAGTTTTTACTTTGACCTGACCTGTGACCTCAACAGTGACCGTAAGGTCAACAAATTGGGCCTGCTCGACATGTTTCTTTCTGCAGGGCCACCAAACGTCAGCTGAATTGTGAAAATCATAGGCCAATGATTTCGGATGTAATAGAGAGGAGAGCTCTGCACTTCTCCAGTCCCCACCCCAGTCACTCGCGTCGTAACATAGGTATATCCCAGTCACTATAGTCATGCAAGGGCTAGACAATATTCTTTTCTTCAAACTAGCGATCGCCTATGCTGATAATTACTGCACGTTTGCCCTCGTTGGAGAAGACACCTTTAGGAGTCAATGCTTGGAATGGCGTCATAGTTGCTCCGTGCTCGCCTGTTTTTGCCACTGACACCTGGTTTTCGGTACCTCAGGGTAGTAGAAAAGCGCCGATGGTTTGTTGATCGGCGTCGGCTGAGGCGGCGTTTATGGCACCTGGGCAGCGGCCGTAAGGTGAACCGATACCGCGTGATGGCATCATAAAGGTGCACCGGCAGCGCGTCTGGTGATGAAACGGCGAGAGAAGTGCGCGCCGATCAGCAACCACCCCAGGTGACCCAAACCGAACTCCCAGACACTGCAGAGAGAAAAAGGCGGAAAGGTGGACAAGGAGGCTCCCAATACATTCCCAACGGGAGTCTGGAATGGTGGATAAGTGATACACACTTCTACAGAAAAGCATGTATAGGAATCTACAGAAAAGGTGCACAGAAAGACGTGCATTGAACCATATTGAACCTGTACGAATACCTAAAACAATTCTGAGAATTCCTACAGGCTACGACGCCTCCCATCATTAGGCATACGAGTACCGTCTACATTTACAATGTCCGACGACATTTCGTCTAGCTAGCTTCATTCTTCGATCAGTTAGGAACTTCAAATGAATCAAATGAACCTGCAGTTTTTATTCGGTGACATCCTAGACAGCAAAGAACTGTTGGACAAAAGTCTACCAAAACGTGTTAGTGCCAATTCAAGGCTAGGCAGACTATAACTGCCGTGTTTGATGCGTCATACACTGGTCATGCCTGACCAAAAGTCAGGTCGGATCAGTAAAGGTCATCACAAAAGATATAATGGTTGATTTTAACAAAATAACCTGGCTTATGGTGAGCTTTGTACATAGGGTAACTGTGGGGAAAACGCACCCCTGTGTTAAACGCCTCCCCTAAAAAAATCGTATTTCTTATCGACGGATAGGTGTTTTATCCTGTCTTTCAGAACAGTCAGCTGCTTGTTTACGTAGGTCTCTATTTCCGGTTCTGCGTCTTGAAGAGCAGCGTGGGTAGGTGCTGTGCTGATGTTGGTTTTGGTTCTTGTTTTTGTTGTTTTTACAGAAGATTCCTAATATTTTGATGTCCTCTTTATATCACAAAACTTGCTATTGTGCACATCACTCAAAACTGCGTTTTATTGTCATTCTTTTGAATGTATTATGCTGCGGCGTTAGTGGCGCGTTTTTTGTCAATATTTTGTTGACCGGAAATAGAGTGGATGGGGCAAGACGCCTACTCGATGCATGGGGCAAGACGCCCCCAGTTTTCTGAAAGGGGGGCGTTTGGGGGGGGGCGTTTTCTCACGGTGGTGAGAGTGCAGGGTAGCGCCCTGTAGGTCGGGGCCGAAAAGGCCTCTCCCTGTCCTTTTTTGCTGATATATCCTTAACGACTGCAGATATCGTCACCAAACTTTCAGGACTCTTCCGGGCATCCATTTTCCACATTGCAACAAAATTTTATTCCAAAGGCTATGATAGGTTGACCACAAATGACGTCAGAATGACGTCAAGTTCTGCCATGTTCATCATTTTCTGTTGATGGATAGGGTGGGGGCGCTTTGCACATGGGTGTGGGCGTATTACCCAGGGTATGGGGTAAAACGCCCTTTTGTAAGGGTATGCGAAAACCTTTTTGGGGGGTTAAATACCACACGCAGGTGTCTTTTGTCTTTTCTTGGTCTCAAAGCATAGTAAAAAGAATGAGCTACATGATGGTGCCCAAAGGTTTAAGTAATCTGTGTTGGGTCGAGTGTCAGAAGGTTTCGCGCTTAGGGGCGGGGGGGGGGGGGCGTTTTTGACCTATTCACCCTATACCTAGTGATTTTACTCAATTAACGCAATGCTGAGGTTCCTGTAATAATTTCAGGAAAGTGTGCTTGAGGCCAGGGGAATTTGGTGTCTGGTAAAATAAGTGTGGGGGCGTTGAAAGCCCAACATCATCTAGTCGCTAGTTTATGTTCAAGGACCATGCTGCATTCTTCTCGTAACGGCTGACCACTGACCAGTGACGTCCTATCCGCCCGTGCCGACCAGAGCGGACAGTGAACGGGGGAAGACGCTGCCCTCCCCCCCCCCCCACAGTTCCCTCGACCGAAGGACCATATTTGTCACGTCCGCGCCGCGATTGGTCACGTCCCCGGTGCGATCGGTCGCCGCCGCCCTAATCGGCTCCGCCGCGTCGCCTGATTGACACGGTTTTCAGCTGATCCGGCGCTGCCGCCGACCGGGAAATGGGACGACGATCGGCCGCGACCGAGAGGGCACGCGCCCGTCCTGCCGCGTCGATAACGGCACTGAAACTGATACTGGACCATGCAGCTATGCTGTCGATCAGGTGCAGTGCCATCTTATGGCTCCTGACGTAGGCTCCGCTTATGGATCACGGGTGTATAGTGCTCGTGAATGATTTGACATCATTGCATTGTTAACACTGATTTTTGTTTCAAGCGAGATACACTGCGTATTTGTATTGCAGAGCTAGAACCTAAAAATGTAGTGAGATAAAAAGTATTGATAGGATAGAGGTTTTGTCTCTTTGCTTTTTTGTGAAGGCACATCGATCTCATGTCCATTTCGTTCACTCGTTACAGCTAATACAGCTTCATGCTGTTATCTTTTTGTACCTACTCCAGTCTTGTCAACAGTACAGCAGGGACGGAGCGGAGCCACGGTGTCGCACCGGGCCGCACAATTCCTTTTTCGTTGTGCTGCAGTTCCGTGATTGGCTGCCATTTGTGGCCGGTCGCCGGGCTGAGAGAGACGCCGCTCGACCCCCGGGGACCGTCCTGTGTCCCGGCACGTCGGCCCTGCAGCACGGCGCTCCACAGTCTCTGTTGCGTGCGGCGCGCCGGCACCGGGTCTCTGTCGCTGAATATTGCACGAGCACCGGACACGGGTATTGACC